ATTGGAGGTTCTGTACTCCACAAGCTTTACAACAAGCATGCAATTGTAAAGAAATTATTTGAAACTGAGCAAGCAATGTCTGAAATTAGAGAATTGGGAAATTAGAAGACCCTTCTGCTATGAAACAGAAGTAAAAGTTTGCTCATTTTCTTTTGCAAAGGACATAATACAGAAACACAAGATAAAACTAAAACAGCTGAAATCAAAAGCACTTCGCAAAGACATCATTAGACCCTCCACAGAAACTGACTAAGGCAAAATTAGACTGAATTGCTTTTAGTAATTATCATTTATTAGTATATACTAAAACAGTGGATAGCGTTCAAGGCGCGCTCTGATTGGCTGGTCAAACTCCGAATATCCTTTGCTATTTACCTCCGAGAACCTTGGGAGAAAATGGCGTGCCGGCTTGCATCCGTGACAAGCGAAGAAATCACTCAAATAACGACGAAGCAGTCCCTGAAAACACAGAAAGCGACTAAATTTGGTTTGGCCGTGTTTAAAGGTAATTGTAACCGGGAGTTTATCGATAAAAACCAATGAAAAAGGTTTTGTTTACAAATGCAAATTAATCTTGCGTAACCTCACTTGTTCACTTGAAAATCAAAGTTAAATGGTATTTTTTACAGAATGGTTTCAAATACAGAAAGAGTTTGNATCTTGGATCATCAGTGGATGTGTAAGGAGCAAGGAAAGGTTTTCTCTTCCTCTGATGTTCAATTTTACTGCGTACATTTAAGCAATCAAAGAAAGAGTCAAACATTTCACAAAGCTTCGCTGTACCTGCTGTACCAGGAGGGCCAAATGATCTTAAAACAGCTGCCATTGATGCACTTAGCACTTGAGCTGCCAGGCTGACACGCATGCTGGAGTACGAATTCAGCTTAACATGTTCATATGTAATTCTAGGAAGCAACTTCAAGCCATTCTCTGCATCTTGATAAAAGATTTGGGTGATGTGCTGCCATAATAAGTAGTGACCATCATTCCACATATACCTGGAAACAATAATCAGTCAACATTAATATGTATGCAGCAAATCATTGCCAACTTACAATATCATATAAGGAGTTATTAACAGCAAAATGTAAAACATATATAAATGCAAGATAATAAGCAGATGGGATTTCTTGTGTGTAGATGGACAGCTGCTGTCCTTTGCTGTCCCAATAACAGTTACGGATATAAGATTGCCCATTTGGCAATTTAAATTATCCCAAAATGGCTTTTGATTAGAGAAATTTAGAAACCTGGATTAAAATTTAACCCTGGGTTAGAGCTAATCGGCCTTTGAACAACTGGGCCCTGATCATAACCATTCTATTGGCTGTTGGACGTAACTGCTGCCCCTATTGTTACTGGGACAGCAAAGGCCAACAGCTCTCCACCTGCACAGTAAAATTCCTTTTGCTTTTTATCTTGAAATTGTTTTGTAAACTCATACCTGGTACAAGTACCAGATCCAGAATGATACAGACAGTTTCTTGTGGTCTTTACAAGATGAGGGGCATCTGAGAAGAAGTATATAAACCTCTGTGGTGCAAACAAATTGATTGTGCGATAGCACACATCCTTGTCAGCATTTCCATCAAGACTCTTATGCATTCGGTAGAATCTTCTATTTGGTGTGGCTCCATCTGAAGTAGAAGCAATAACCCAGAGGTTACAGGTTAACTCCAAAATAGCAACAGCCTCCCAGAACAATGGCATTATCTGGGCAGAAGTAGCTCCATTGGTAGAAAAGTGGGCCAAGCAGAACTTCAACTCTGTACAAACACCTCTGATGAGGAAAGCAAGAGCATGAGTTGCAACCTCATCAAGTTTTTCCAGAGCTCCAAAGTTGACATCAGGGTCACCAAGATCCACATATCCAATCAATTCGCCTGTGACCTTATCAAAAACAAGATTTGACATGATTTTCATTTCGTCAAATAGCAAGACAACATATCGTTGCACATCAAAGTACTTGTCTGTTAATGCTTTCAGTTCTTCAATCACATTCTCATGAAAGCCCCTTTTGGGTCTAATAAAGTTTCTATAATCCCGCAGTGTTCTTTGGCTTGGCAGTACTAGTATCCCACTTTTTCTTATTTCCTCGTAGCAAGATGGTGATTTGGCTGCCAATGACAAACAATAACGAATTATCATTGGGTGATATCTGACACCAGTTGATGTGCTGTTGTGGAGTTTCTTTTGTTGTTGCCAAAATAGGCTCATGAATGGTGTGATCTCTGCCTGACCAAGTATATCAGTCATGTCTTTACTGAGTTCATGATCAATCTCAACACTTGATTTCTCGATTTCAAGTTTCATTTCTTGAAGTTTCTTTTCAAGGGTTGCACATTTCAATCTTTGCATCTGCAAAGTCAGTTTTAATCGTTCTGGAGATGTCTTAGAGACTGGGGTATTGAGATGCGCTGGCTTAGCTAGTTTGTTCTGCTTGGCCCTTTCTTTTAGCCGAGACTCATGTGAATATCCATAGCAACCAGCACACTGCTGGCCCTCATCCTCTGTTAAAATTTCACATCCTCTCATTCTCCAATACTGCTGGTGTGGAAATGAACTATCGTCGAATAGTGGATCGACAGATTTCGGGATGATGTGGGGTATTACAGCATTGGATAGTTCATGTGGAATTACTCCAGGACATATGGAGTGGCTTTCAACATCTTTCACAAGGTCAGAAACTGTGATATTACTGACTGATCTTAAATATCTAGAATACAGTTCATGGTCTTCAGGTATGAGCCATCCAAAAATTGAAATTGTGTATCCCAAACTGTCATCTATCATGATTTCAACTTCTGGCAACAAAAAGGTGTTTTTTATCTTTCTCAGCAATATTCTGTCATTTAACTCTTGAACTGACCAGTCACTGAGGGTTTTCAAAGGATGAACTCGTTTGCAAAGTTCTACAAAGTTACTATAACAAGCATTCTTTCTTTTGGTTTCAGGCAAGTCCTTCACGATCGATAGCAGTCTTCGTGGCGCTAGCTTTTCCTTTTGGTGGCTTTTTTGGGGCATATTTAGAGTCGGTAGAGAACCAAACTTCGGTCTTTTCTTGGTCATCTTTGAAGACACGACTAAAAGCAAAGTTAAATAATTTATCTATCAGTAAGAAAGGCGGAAGAGCTTTGGTTAGTACAAGACATGTGTTGCCATCACGGAACACAAAAGTAAACATCGTCAGTTCCAAGTTATAAACACACATCTGATGTTTATAAGTCCCCTCTACTAACTACTAACTATACATACACCTTCGGTTGTGCTGTGCCGTGCACAAAAATCCTACATTCACATACTGGTAAACACCATACACACAGAAGCTTTAGTCTGAACACTTACCAATTTCCATATCATCGGGAGCGAAATGCTTCTCGCATGTAAAGACTCTATCGCTGTCAATTTGTTTCTGGAAATCTTAGTCTACTTCTCTTGATTTTCTGGATTCATTCAGTCAGTCTGTTCTCCACTTTTTGTATACTTCGTTCCTCGGAGCGGGAAGTTTCCAAATGTCTATACCTTTCGATCGCCTGCACAATCCACAGCCAACCACGGAACAATTATCGCCAGGCATTTTAAACTTAATCTAGAGTAGCTTTTTTACGATTTAAAACTGTTTTTCTTATCATAATAACGCCGAAAAGAACACAAGACAGCGTACCGTACTCAAGTGACAACCGGCGCCACATCTCAGTTGAATCCTGTGCTGTGCACGGTATTGGTCACGTGATTTCTAAAAAATCGAACTATGACCTCCTCTTTTGAAGTTCGCCGACCTTCCCAACCAGTCCCCTCTACTACTAATTATGCTGTCAAGCAGAGTTTTAACATCCACCTCTTCAAGGTATGTGCGCATAGCTAGACGATTGGAGGCACGCAAATCTCTAAACTTAACAGTGATCTTTGCGTTGGGTTGCTGGGAACGTTCCAAAGGCTGCAGCTCAATCGAGAAGTGGTCAGACACTCCAACAGAAGGGCGTTGAATAGGTGAATCATAATAGTCGCTTAAATTGGTAAAAACAGGATCTAGCATGTTAGTACCACGAGTTGGAAAATTCACGAGCTGTTTTAGTTTAAAACCATTGCTGAGTCGAGAAGATTTCTTCACTAGGGTTTCATTGAAATCGCCGAGCAGTATCGTACCACAACCGAGGAAACGAGCTTCGATTATCGATAAACAGTTGTACAAATAATCGAGTATAGGTCCATCAGCTGCGTTTGGAGAATGGTAAACCAAACCAACAATAATACAAGTTATGCCCCTAGGGAGACGCAAGGGACGCAACTGAGTCCATATAGTCTCAAAATTCTCATCTGCCATGTCGTCGAGGATCTTGAAGCGAACAGATTCCTTGACGTAAAAGCATATTCCTCCATGTTCGGCCTCTGTTCGATCCCGACGGAATATGTTATAGCCCGAGATTGCGACGCTGTTATTATCGATGTGATCTTTGAGCCATGACTGTAATACATACAAGATCAAATTTTGCATTATGGACGACTTCGCGGATCTCGTCGATTTTAGGGGTCAGTGACATGACATTTGAGAGTAACAATGATGGTACGAACAAGCTCGATGACCCTGAAGACTTCTCTCTCAGTGTTGCAGTTATAAGACGGTTGGTCAGGCAGCGAGGACCGCGACTTGATTTGATAAAATGCGTAGGTCTGTCGCCGCTTGAACGTGAACAATTAACTTGAGTTGGCGAAGCCGGGCCGCATGAATAGTAATGAGTATTACATAATGTCAGTATTTTGTACTTCTTCGCTCTAACACGCTTTCCAGCTCTGGTACGACGGGTCCTGAGAATTCCATAATCCTTAAGAGTAAGGAAAACGTAGCGAGGGACGGTAAGGCTAGAATGAAGAGCGCGAAGTTCGCTGCTAGAATATGTCATTATTCCATTGTTGTTTCTGCAGAGAAATTTAATTCCAGTAACTTGATCTTCAACAGAACAGGAAACGATTCCATTTGATAGTTGGTCATGTCCTGGGTTTGCTTCGATGTCCATAAATATCGTTAGATCTTGGACGAATAGTTTCTGTTTCAACGTCAGAGTTATTTCACCGTGTTTTCCAGCTCTTCGAACAGGATAGTTGACGTTATAATTTCTCGATACACCTGCACGTGTGAAGTTTAGTCAGAGGAAGACACAATATTGTTCCGTCAGTTTTTGCAACGTCAGTTTTGCAGCTCGGAGGAGAGCACACAGAATGAATATGAATATGAATATAGTTTATATCTGACCACTTGCAGCCCAGAGGCTGAATTACGGGTGCAGTGTAAGGTTGAGAACAGACGTCAATAACTGTTTTAACTTGCCAATACGAGACATTATAAACCAATTGAACCTGGTGGATAACCAAAAATCCAACAAAACAATAGAGCAATCTTTGAGAGCAGGCAGCCATGACGGCGCAGCCATGACGGCGCATACATAATCAATGGGGGCCGTTTTCCGAAAGTCCTGTTAACTTACTGGGCCTCTAAAGCTGTTCTGTTTTCATTCAAGATGGGGGTTGCAAAAGTTTAGAAAATAATACAATAAAACTATCAGCTTAAGAAATAAAATAGACTGGTTTGGGTGTCAGAGCCTGCTTTTCTATCTTTTAAGTTTTGATTTTTAAAAACGCATTAATTTACAGGGACTTTCGAGAAACGGGCCCCTGAACTCAAAATAGCGCCTGAAGTGTGGTAAAATCTTTTCCCTAAGCTTGCAATTTTACAAAGTAATATCCAAAGGTTTTCACATAGGAGAAGCCTTGCCGCAACTGTATGCGTCGGAATGAATTCATTCTCACTTGCTTTGAACTGGTTTTTGGTAATCGCTCCACCTGTGTGTTTTGTAATCATTTAAAAATGTTTTTCATTTCAATTTTTGTAGCCCTTGTGTCTTCGATCTACAGAATAACCAATATTTTCCATGAACATTTGAGGTAAGTTCGACATCTCCCTTTCATATTAAATATTTTTGTTGCAAATCACAATGGATCACCTTCTATTTTTACAAGTTGTGATGATACACTTTGAAACTACTCTTTTAAGGTTAGTGCTTCCACAGTTGAAAAAATAAAAATTTATGGAGTTTAGAACTGACAATCCCCGTCGCTTTTTTTGTTTCACAGGACTCTACCCATGGCTGTGGAACATGAAAAGAAACTTGAATCGTTTTTGATGTTCAGAGAGTAGGACAGACCATTCATGTACATTTAGAAATTGAATCATAGGTATAGACGCTATTTTTAGAATCCTTTTCGGGGCAGTGTTTTTCCCCTCCAAAAATTGCTGTGTTTGTAAAGGAAGCTTTGTCTAAAGTGTTAAAGAAGTATAATGTTTTATCTGCAACCATTGGATTAATATTGGAACTTGATAAAACCACTTGCACGACTATTTTCTCCATTTCTTTGTGAGAGCCGCTCGATTATGGGTTTAAGAGAAAATAGTCCTATAAAAAAATTGATGTTGAAAATTAGCGTTATATGAGAGGTTCGGACTGCACTACTACTTTTTGCAATTCCTCCCTTAGATTTTCAACAAATAGGTATTTGTGAGTTATTATTAGAAGGTGTGGTTAACTAAGTGTTCTTTGTCAATTATGTAATTATCATTAGCTAGTTATCTTCATTGAATGAACAATTAAACGTGCAACAGTACTTAATTTGTCATTAAGTTCAAAGCAAAGTTGTCGAGAGGCAACGCGTCTTAACGCTCTGCTTAAAAACTTTGGAATATGGCTTTTGCTTCGATTTCAAACATGTCCAAAAAGTGTCCAAAAAATTGTTTTTTGGTGACTATCGGCGTGGGTGGGGCTCTTGTAGCTGCTCTTACGTACAAAGCAGTTCAAGCCCGCTGTAAGGCTGCACGGGATTTCGATGACCGCGGCTTCCCTGCAATGGCGGACTACCCTGATCTGCGCCACCACAACAACTTGATGGCGAAGCATCTGACGCCCCGCTTGTACAGCAAACTTCGCGATCAAGTCACCTCCAGTGGATTTACATTGGACCAGGCTATTCAAACTGGTGTTGATAACCCTGGCCATCCTTTCATCCTTACCGTGGGAGCCGTCGCAGGGGACGAAGAGTCGTACGAAACTTTCGCGGATCTTTTTGATCCGATTATCGAAGAGCGTCACAATGGCTTCAAGAAAACCGACTTGCACAAAACCGACCTGGACGCTTCCAAGATCCGTGGCGGGAAATTTGACGATCGCTACGTACTGTCCTCGCGCGTGCGCACGGGACGATCGATTCGCGGGTTCAGCTTACCTCCTCACTGTTCGCGCGCGGAGCGAAGGGAAGTAGAAAACGTTGTTTGCGAAGCTTTGGACGGTCTGAAAGGTGAGCTGATTTACTTGTGAAAGCAAAGTCTATTGTGCAAGCATTAAAATTGTTTCTAAAAAGCCTTACTGTAACTTTGTACAAAATAGAAAAGGTAAGATTGGATAAGAAGAATTGAAATCTGGATGAAAAGTCTGCAAACTAAAAATACATTTTTATTATGTTCACAAGATCCTTAAATGTATTTTATTCAATATCATGATTACGTTTTCCCCACTTGGTAATTACTGACAGAAACGAATTGATTAAGCATTCCATAATCAATCATTTGGAAGTCGCGTCACAGTGGATTAATTTGCGCGTTTTGATTGGTTCAGAAACATACTAGTTTTAAATGGTAAAGGAAGTTGGAAGCATCAGCGCGCGCCAACGCAAATTTGTCTTATTCTTACATTTGAACTACGAACGTGCGCATATTTGTCTCTTACCTCTAATAGGGAATGACATGACTTGATGACCTATTCACGACTTTCAGGTAACCTTTCTGGGAGCTATTATCCACTGAACGGCATGACTGCAGCTGAGCAACAGCAGTTGATTGACGATCACTTCCTGTTTGACAAACCAGTCTCCCCACTCCTCACGTGCGCCGGCATGGCACGTGACTGGCCTGACGCGCGTGGAATCTGGCACAATAAGGACAAGAACTTCCTTGTTTGGGTCAACGAGGAGGACCACACGCGTGTCATTTCTATGGAGAAAGGAGGGGACATGCGCTCAGTGTTTGATCGCTTTTGTCGTGGGCTCAATGAAGTAGAAAGACTTATTAAGCGCAAAGGACACGAGTATATGTGGAATCAACACTTGGGTTATATCCTCACATGCCCATCCAATCTTGGAACTGGTCTAAGGGCTGGAGTGCACGTCAAACTACCTAACCTTGCCAAGGTAAGAATGCTTTTCATATTAACCAAGTGAGAGCCATTATTGAAATTCAGCGCAAATCCTAAAACATCAATGGGCTCAATAGCAATTGATGTCGAGTGGTTTCCAAAAATTCCCTCAACTTTAGAAGTATAATCTTCACGTCAAGTTTATAGTAAGTTTGTCACGAAACATCTGAGAACTCCCTCAGATATCCACTTTACCCCCTCTCCATCGCACCACCCTACCCCCCCTCCCCTTCGGATACCACTGAGCTCCTTTCTTATACCTATAGTTTGTCACTGAAAATCCTTCCGGTTGTCTTTAAAATCTTCCATAGAGAAAAAGGGAAGGTGAGGGAGGATAACTATGGGCGTAATCTTAACATGAACTTGTACCGCGGTTATTGAATGATTTGTATTCAACATCTTGTTTTTTCTAGGATTCAAGATTTGGCGACATTCTGGACAAGTTGAGATTGCAGAAGCGCGGAACCGGTAAGAGTTCATCAAAGGAAAGGCAATGTTACTTTTTGGAGAGCGCATAATGTAATCATTTTGTTTTCATTCAGCTTGCTTACTTGAGTTTTTTCCTTTCAGGCGGGGTTGACACTGCAGCCGTCGGAAGCACTTTTGACATCTCCAACTCAGACCGTCTCGGTTATTCGGAGGTGGAGCTTGTCCAGGCCGTGATTGACGGCGTCAATCTTCTCATCAACATGGAGAAGAGACTGGAAAAGAACAAGGCCATCGACGACCTCATTCCTAAATAAGGAGTTTACGACGAATGCTGGTTACTGTTGCATTTGCTTTGTTGCATCGCTTGCTTACAGCCAAGGCTTGTTGAGAAACATTAAATGAATTGAAACGGTCTCCGCGCGCGTAATTTATTAAGGATGACCGTTGTGCAGTTTATCCGTGGTAGGTGTTACTTACCTGGCGGTGGGCGCACTGCACCTTGACAAGCCGCTTGAAGTTTTGAAGCAGAAACATGCTATTGCAAAAAAGGAAAAAAAGGGGACGTGAAGTAAAGACATGAAAATGTATACCTGTTTCAGACTGATTCTTCGTACATAATTGTTAAGGAAACCTCAATGGGAACGAAGGAATACTGGGGGGAGATGCGAGGTTATGGAGGAGGGGGGTATTTCTCTGGTGTATTGCTGACATTTGGGAACATTCCGATTGATTTATTATATGTAATCACTTTTTCTTGATGGAGAGGGGGGTTCATTTGTGTCCCAGGACTCACCCCGTTATCTTAGCCAGTCATTGTCCCCGGATGGTTTTCAAAACGATCTCCTCACCCAAAATTGTGGCCTCTTTTTTAAGCTAGGATTGTTTGACTAGGATTGCAATGGTCGGTCTGAGATAATGGGCAAGGTTCAGACAGGTTGCAATCTTGATTTTTTTTTTTAACAGACTGCCTACCTATAAAGAAGAATTTGAGTTTAAGTGCTCATTTACAAGTTTTTTTCTGCGATCAAAAGAGCTTTTGGTTATTCCATTTTATATCAGCAAAGAGCTTACGATAAGCTCTTTTATATCATTTTCGTAAGCTATGCTTTCCCAGCATGAGAGATTGAGAAATCATCGCTGATCGTCCCCTGATTTATAGTTGAGATAGAAGAGACAAGTCATAATATACCGCCTGAGGAGGGGGGGCTGGTGGGAGGATTTTGATTGTATTGCGATAGAATTTAATTGATCCCCCCACAAGGCCTGGGTTAATTTTTTGACCCTCCCCCCCTTATGGGCGGTTAGTTGCCAGTCCATTTTCTACAGTCCCCTCCTTAATACTCTGTTGGCGACGTCTGATTCCCCCTCCGTTCCCCCCCCCTCCACAAAAACCATGTGATCCCCTCCTCAAAAAAAAAAAAACTTCTCCGCTTCCATGATGAATAATAAGTGGTCCCTAATGAAGCTGAGAACCACTCGACGTTACATATCCTCGTTCTTTTTTTTAAGATGTCTTAATTATGTAAAAAAAGATCAAGGAAAAACAAAATCTGTTTTAAAGCTAGTATTTACTCCCACGCAAAGTTATCTTTGTCTTTCCTGTTCCAAACCGCCTTCTTAAATATGTATCGCAGGTTTTGAAAAATTCACTCGTAGAAGAGAAAAGACCGATAAGAGATATTTATTCTTACAAGTTTGAGTTTCTTTAGACTGGAACCATAACGCGAAATTTGCACTTTCTAAACGAAACTCAACTGAAAAAAAAAAAACAGAGAGCACGTGTTCTTAAAGTGCTACTGAAACGTAATTTTCATATCCGAGATTTCTGCAATATAATAGAGTTTGAACGTTATTTGCAAACGCTGTGTACTTTTTTTGGGCCAACGCATACCGG